TTCCAGCTCATCTCACTCTGGCCATGCTCTCTGCTCTTGTCTACAGCTCTCCTCCTCCAGAGTCACCAGGCTGTCTCTCTCTCTATTATTCAGATCACCTCCTCAGAGGTTAACTCCTGACCACACCAGCTTAGTAGCAACTCATCCCACTTCCGCTTAACCTTTCCTTTAGAACTTATCACTGCCTGACAACACAGTAGATACTTCCGTCGGTCCCACCAGAATGCAAGCTCCATAAGAGCAGGGACTTTGGCCTACTTAGACCCAGATTTCCCAGTGCACACAGCAGGCATGCACTAAAATGTGCTAAAGGAACACGAGAAGGCACGCCAATGACAGGCAGGTCCTAAGTGACAAACGTGCGTGAACATACACTCAGCACACACCTGCACACACCACACCAGCACCGGCGAGCAGAGGCATGCGTATTCTCGTGTCTCACTTGGCTCAGCTCCCCAGAGCCCAGGGGAAGCGTTATCACCCATGTTCCCCCAACCAGGCAGCCTCCAGCTGGACTCCACTCAGCCCTCCTGGTGCTAACTTGGCCTGACACGCCGGCTGCACATGGGGCCTCCCGTGGAAGCTGTGGCAAGCCCACCACCATTGTGGTGGTTGCTAATTGGCTCTGTGTTGGGCCTTGGGTCACCGCTCGGTCAGCCATGGCTGATACCTTCTTCCCACTTGTCTCAGGAAAGGCACGGCTGTCCCTTCTGCTTAGGCCTCAGCAGGCCATTGAACCGCACATGTCCAGCCACGTGGGACCGGCCTGGCCAGCTAGCTTCTCTGATGGTGGCCCCCACCCTATTCACTCTTGAGAGACAGCAGAAGTAACCCAGCAAACAGAACTGGCTTTGGGGTGGACAGTTGTCTTAGGGACATGGTGTGATAACCAGGGTAGGAGAGAGAGCCCAAGCCAGGTGTCTATTTGTCATCTGACTCAGCACCTGAGATTCCACTACTATAGGGACCACACTCCAGTCCATCCCTCACCTTCAGGGTTTCTCTTAAAGTGCACATCTCCTACTTGGGGACAAGAGGAAAGGACAGGGTCCTGGAGGGTGGGAAGAGGAAACACCATTAATTGGAATCTTATAATCAATTCTCACCTCCATTATATCCATCTGTCACGTCCTGCACATGATGCTGTTGTGCCCCTGACCCCTATGTCAAGGAATTTTCAGCAAACTATTTTCAGAGTAGAAGCAGCTGCCCTCACCCACATCATACCTACTATCATACCCACCATCAAGCCCATCATCACACCCACCATCACACCCACCTCTGGGATGTTAAGGCTCTGGGGATCTCAGTGTGGTTATTCCTCAGCCAAGGCTTTGAACCTCAGTGGTGCTGGCTTATCTGACTTTCCTCCCAGAGGAGGTTGAGAGTGGACAGTGCCTGGGATGTGAGAAAGCTTAAGGCCTGACTTGATATAGGGGGAAGCTCACTCCACTCCTATTTTTCAGGTGCCCAAGGTGTACCCCTTCACAATTTTACCAGGGCCCAGGCCTTTTTTTTTTTTTTGCTGGGGGTACTGGGAATTGAACTCAGGGGCACTCAACCACTGAGCCACATCCCCAGCCCTATTTTGTATTTTATTTAGAGACAGGATCACACTGAGTTACTTAGCACTTCACTTTTGCTGAGGCTGGCTTTGAACTCGCCATCCTCCGGTCTCAGCCTCTGGAGCTGCTGGGATTACAGGCATGCACCACCATGCCCTAATCTTCTCCTGGTTTGGTACTAGAATAAATACATCCCAGTCTTCAAAACATTCTCAAATCCTGCCTCCTCCACAAAGTCTCCCCTACTGCTGTTTTGCCTGACATTACATCCTGTGGTTACGTCTTTGCTCCGTCTGCCCTGATCAGGGGACTTCAGAGCTCAGGACAGATCTGGGCTGTGGTGTGTCTCTCCTGCTTCTCCTCCTCTGGTGCTCCAGCTTGTGGGGCAGGTCATGACTGCAAAAAGCACTTCATCAAGTCAACCAACTCCAATGGCCTCCCTTCTTGTCTCCTGGGGAGGGCACACAGAAGGTGTTGAGTGATACTTCCTGGGTCTGATCTAGCCCTTGCTCTGGATCTGGAGAACTGAAAGCTACTTGGCTCTTCCTGCTTAAGGGCCAGAAAGGGATGGGGCAGGCCAAGGCCTTGCAGAAACAGCACCTGTATTGATGCCAAACAGAATCCTAGCTGCTCCAGGGAAGAAATTAAGAGGAAGGAGTGGAGGGGCGCCAGCCTCATTCTACTCCCTGCCAGGGCTCAGCTTGGGTCCAGCAGGGACAAGCTGCCTCGAGGGTATGGATCCCTTGCTTCAGGTGGTTCAGCCCAGAAGGAAACAAAAGTACACTCCTAGAGCTAAGTGTGAGGCTTCTGGGGAGTTGAAAAGTTTTATGGCCTTTGAGTAGGATTCAGCCATTTATAAATCAGTGGATTATTAAAGAAAAAAAGAGAGGTCTGGTGTACTGACTCACACCTGTAATCCTAGTGACTCTGGAGGCTGAGGCAAGAGGATTGCAAGTTCAAGGCCAGCCTCAGCAACTTAGTAAGACACTACCTGAACATAAAAAAATAAAAAAGCTAGGGTTGTGGCTCAGTGGTAGAGCACTTGCCTAGCATGTATGAAGCACTGGGTTCTATTCTCAATATCACATATAAATAAATAAAATAAAGGCCCATTGACAACTAAAATATATTTTTTTTAAAAAGGCTGGGAATGTAGCTCAGTAGTTAAGCACCCCTGGATTCAATTCCCAGTACAAAAAGAGATAGATAAGTAGATAGATAAATTGAAAAAGAATAAAAATTCTACTTCTATTTGGATTTCCTTGAAATCTGCCCAAGGGATCACTGAGTTGGTATAGAGCCTTCAGGGCCATAAACTTGGGGATCCCATAGATCTATTTCTCCCAGAGTTTTCCAAACTGGAATTTAGAGAGTCTGTGATATATATTTGGCTGGGTGGTAGTGGTGTTGTTGGAAACTTCCCTGAGAGACAAGACCCTCTTGACTCACAACCTTGCTTCTCTAGTCAATAAACAAAACAGAACAGGAATGGGATTCTCTCCTTTGGGAGTTTTTCTGAGCCTTAACCTACTGATGGGCATCATGATTCTTTAAGATAAGTGTAGGGCAGGTGGATTTTCAGTGTCCCCCTGGGATTACAAGAACCATTGCTGTGAAACTACCAATTATCTCCCAAGGGAACACTATTTGGGAAACACTATTGAACTGATCTGTGTAGTAATATCTCATTCTGTTATTTGCAGTAGCATATAATTTCTGCCCTCCTAAATTATTGGAAGACAATTTTATGAAACCTAAAAACATGCCGATGCCTATAATCCCAGCTAATTACCCTACCCAGCAGGAAATGACAGATGCTCTTCAGAGTTGATGCCAAACATAGGCTTTATCCTCATTTTCCAGGTTCTTCTGTGAGGCTCAAGGCCCACAAACAAGGAACCACTTTATGACCTTTACATACAGTGTACAGATTTTTGTTAAAAAGATACTTCATCTATATCATGGAAAACTACCCAGGAATTAAAAGGAATGACTTCAGAGACATGTAATCGTGTTGCTAAATCTCCAGGGAATTATGCTGGGTGAAAAAAGTCTACATTTCTAGACTCTGTGTGTGTGTGTGTTGAACCCAGGGGTGTTCAACCACTGAGCCACATCCCCAGACCTTTTTAAAAATATGTTATTTAGAGACAGGGTCTCACTAAGTTGCTGAGGCTGGCTTTGAACTTGTAATCCTCCTGCCTCAGCCTCTGGAGTTGCTGGGAGTCCCAGGTGTATGCCACCACACATGGCAATTTCTAAACATTGTTGAAATGACAAAAGTTTGAAACTGGAGAACAAATTAGTGGTAGGCGGGAAGGGAGGAGTGTTGAGTTTAAGAGGACAGCTGGAGCGGTCCTGCTGGAGATTGGATTACTCTGCGCATTGACTGTGGTAGTGGACACACAAACCTACACGTGATAAAACTGCATAGAATTAAGCACACAAATTCACAATTATAGAAATGGATACAGATAAGAATGGAGAAATCTGAAAGATTGATGGGCTTTGTATCTATGTCAACATCTGGTTTGAGGTTTTGTACTATAGTTGTACAAGATTTTACCATGGGAAAAACAGAAGTCTCTGATATCTCTCACAACTGCTTGTGACTCTATAATTGTCTTAATAAAATTACAATTATTTACTAAAAAAAAAAAAAAAAAGAAATATAGACTGGGTGCCATGGCATCTACCTGCAGTCCTACTACTCAGGAGGCTGCAGTGGGAGGATACCTTGAGCCCAGGGAGACTCCATATTAAGGAATAAACAAAAAAGAAACTCAAGGGCTGGGGGTGTGGCTCAGTAGTAGAGTGCTTACCCAGCATGTATGAGGCCTTGAGTTCCATTTCCAACACCACCAACAAGAAAGGAAGGGAGGAAGGAAAAAAAGAAAGGAAAGAAAGTCAATTTTTATAAAAGTAGGACCATGGGTTCCTCACATGTGCTAATGGACAAGCATGGGATAGATGGCCTCCCTTTGCCCTCTCCGTCCTTGAGATCTCTTTCAGAAGAGATCTGTTCTAGGGGAGTCCACCTCACTTCCCTGAGATCTTCACTCCCTCTCCTGGGACACATAGTGTTTATGGCTCAGAGACCTCCATATTTAGCACTCCAGCTAGGAACCAGGGAGCTGAATCCTGACAAAGGAATGGGACAGTCCAGCAAGTGGAGGTCAGTGCAGACAGAACAACTGACCTCATGCGGCCTAAGGAACCTCAGACGCCAGAAACTGGACACTAGTGACCAAAGGCCTGATGGGAAAAGAGCACATATCAGCCAATGCCTGTAGGAGCTATGGTACTGTTTAACCCTGAACTTCACATGGCACCCAGGGGGCCCAAGAGGAGAAAGAGAGGTGTTGGATCTTAGTTGCGAGTGAAATGGCTGTAAGTGATGAGATTAAGCTTTCCACTATTAGGGGGAATGGAGAATTAAGACAGAAATCAAGTTTATTGTAGGAAAATAGTTACATTTTTGTACCCCTGAGTTTGTAGACTCTAAAAAATTGAACTCACTACACAGGTAGGCACTTTTATAAATGTACTTATACACAGATAGACACAGGTATAGACCACTGACATTCTCAGGTACATAAAACCTGTACCCAGTGGTGTGCTGGTAAATGTTGAACAGGTGGCTTTCTTTAAAACAGCCATAGCCAATAACCTGATTTGTAGCAGCTATTGATTTCTGTGGTATAGACATTCCCACAATGGTGATTTCAAGCTACAGACATATCTCTTAATGGAGTTGGAGAGATGTACACAAAGCTGGGTCTTTGTGAGTTGGTGTGAGTGTGCTCCGGTGCAACACCAGAGCTCTGACACAAGTCACATTTGCACATTGATGCATCTGCCCAAAGGTGCCTAGATGTGTAGGATTGCTCAGGTTTCCTGGAGGATGGAGATGCTAATTCTAATCCTGTAGACACATTCCTACAGGAAAAATACATAGATGTTATTTCAAATACATGCGTCTGCAGACCCAGTCATTTACAACATATACAAAGACAAGTTCAAAAATATAAGTAAATATGTGCCTGTCTACCTATAGATTCACACAGGCCGAGGTATGCACATAAAATCCTATGCAGACACCCACATACCCAGGAAAGAAGAAGGAATAGATCAGTGTGATGTGCTCAGGCTGCTGCCCTAGTCTGAGGTTCCACACCCTTCAGAACAACTTCAGATTGAGGCAGGTAAAGCCCTTCCTTCCCTTCTCTTCCTTCAATGGTTGAGGAGCCTTGAGGGGAAGAATGTTTATGCCATTTAGTTACACATGCTTCTGCACTCTGGGGACCACATATGCCCTCCCCACCTGGATTGGTCTAGAAGAACCCTTCCTTACTTCCCCAGAGGCTCCTTCCTCTACTCTCTTTCCTTGTGAGACAGTGAAATCCAACCTTTCTTCCCTTCCTTGTCCTGGGTCAGAAGCAGGAGATGTCAGTGTAATTCCACTCAGATCCCTCCCTATGGTTCCTGCTTTCCTTACGCCCTTATCACTTTCCTGTTTATCTCTTGTCCAGGCCATTGCTTAGCCTTCTAAGTATCTATCTCCAGGCTCCAAACTCTGCTCCCATTTGGCCCATTATAAGGAATCTGCCAGTAAATCAGCACAGTGCTGAGGTCACATATGTATTGGCAACTCTTAGGGCTAGATCCCGTTGAGGCGTCGCTGATTAAGACAGTTAGGGACCACCACAGTGACAAAAGGCAGATGTACTCCCAAGGCCTTAACTCATGATCTACTGCTCATTAAAAGTATTACAAAAACGGAATGAGTCTGAGCCCTCAATTATAACAGGGACTTAGAGAGGCAGCCTTTGCTAATAAGCACTGACTTCACTTGGACCTGCTGATGACTGATGGGTAACTAAAAAAGGATCAAGCTTGGCATCTCTGCCTTCATTTTGTATCTGTCTCCTTTATTACCTTAAACTGTGGGTCAGATTTCTGCTCACCTTTGTACACAGGCGTGGTAAGCATTTAAGGAGGGTTCATTTAAAGCTGGTAATTGCCTGTTTCAAGGCTGAAGACACCAAGATAACAGTAAGTAGGTATTTTTCAAGATTTGCAGGGACATTCTACTACTCACTTTTACAACTTCCTTCTGCAGCAGCACCTGGAAATCTTCAGACAGTGTCGTAAACCTTCCAGGAACAGTGGAGCCTTGCAGAGAGGTTACCCCATGAGAAGAATGACAGTAAGCAGAGACAGTCATCTCATGGGAACCAAATTGCCCCTTTCCAGGTTCACAGGTCTGTTAATCATCCTGCAAAACAAATGGAGATTGCTCCCTCAAATGATAAGGATTTCTCCCTTCTCTGGAGCCACAGACAACTCACCCCCAGCAACCCAATAAAAGGTCTGTCGTTCCTGATTACCCATCCCCCAGTGCTCTCTCCCTTTTCCTTGAGGTACAACACCTCCCCCCCCCCCCCCCGCAATGAATTTTGCCTGTGTATTCATATTCTCGACTGATTCAGTTTCATTTCTATTGTTCCTGGGTCAGCAGTTCTCATCTCCAACATCATGCTCCAACATCATGACCACATGACCAATTCCTGCTTCCTTAGTTCACAATTTCACTTCTCCTTATTTTTTTCTATGTCTTTCTCTCCCTAGTGTTCTGTAAATTGTCTGTGCCATGGAACTTGCTTGTTCTTTCCTTCAGTTCATAGTAGGGCATTTACTATACCACATGTTTGTGGCACAGGACTTTATAGTTTACCAGCATTCTTTTTTTCCCCCTGCCTTATTTATTACATTAGGAATCAATTACCTTAAGATATATAGAATCCCACCCCCACATGTAAGCTATTTCAATTTTGTGTGTGTGTGTGATGCTGGGATTGAACCCAGGGCCTTGTGCATGTGAGGCAAGTACTCTACCAACCAAGTTATACCCCCAGCCCTATTTCAAAACTAAATGGCACACTTATAAATAGCTCAAGGTCAAGGAAGAAATCACAATAAAAGTAAATAAAAAGTGCTTTGAACTAAGTGATAATAAAAGCTTAAAATATCAGGATCTCTGGGATGAAGTAGTACTCAGATGAACATCTATAACTTAAAGTACTTTATCAGAAAGAAGCTAGAATAACAATAAATGATTTTCAAATTATATAGTGGGAAGGAAAAAATAAGAGTAAGACCAGAAATATATGAAATAGAGAAGAAATAATACAGCTAAAATTGATAAAAAATAAGCAAGTCTATTCAAGAAAAAAAGCAAGAACATAAAAATTAATATCAATGGAAAAGGAGCTATCAAAATAACACTACAGATGCTAAAAATATATTAAGGTCATATTATAATTGTATGCCAACATATGTGATAGCTTACATATCATCTACCAGCATTCTTGAAACAATTTTTGGAGCTCCTGTCATGTGCAAGGTACCGAGGTTAGCCCTGGAAATACAGTGTTGAGCAAAGAGAACTGTTTCATGAGCTGTCAGAAGGATCTGTTAAGACCTTTGGGGCTAAAAGTCCTCTGTTCCAAAATAAGTGGATTTGGCATGAAAGATATTTTTCCACTGTCCTTCTTAACACCTTTGTCCTGCCTCCCCTGAAACTATAGTCTTCTAGCATCACACGGACAAAGTAGAGAAGGTAGAGAACAAGACTGAGGCTTACAGATATCTAAAGGAAATTACCGACCTCGTGAGTATCATAGGAGCCACTGCTGGGATGCTGCAAGCCCAGTGCAAAGGAGCTTTAAACTTTTACAAAGCTATTTAGAGTTAATGAACACCTTCCTGTACTGCAGCACCTTTATTTCTTTCTTGTTATAGTAACTAACCACACCCATAATAAACACTGTTATTTTTGTGAGTTTAGGCTAATTTGATTTCAGAGCCTCAGTTTTCACTGATAACGTGTGGTTGGAAATCTCTTCCTTATCATAAAATTTTAGGATGATAAACAAATTAAGGTATATAAAGAACTTTAAGGATTATAATGTGCAACAAAAATGTATAGTATTATTAGTCTTTTATTAAATGCTATTTTCTTCAAACCAATCACATGACCAATACTTATTTCAGAAACAAGCACTCAATGACTTTGAACTTGTGTGATCTCCTGCCATCTTGCCCAGCCAGGAGAGGTGACTGAAATACTCTGGTCTGGATGGATAGGAAACAAGACATATAACACAGATGCATAACAGAATGTACTGCATGCTACAAATATGAGTCTCACATGTAATTTAAAATTTTCTAGTACCCGTATTTAAAAAGATAAAGATGCTGACAAATTTGAATAATATAAAGATTTAACCTACTATATCCAAAATGTTGTCATTTTAATATGTAATTCATATAGAAATGATTTGTGAGATATTTTTACATTCCCCTTTGACACTAAGTCTGTTTGATCATGTGTGTATTTTATACTGACAACATATCCCATTTTGGACTAGCCACAATTCCAGTGATCAACAGTCACATGGATACTGTGTAGGGCAACAAATATAAATATAAATGTTAAGATCAAGTGGTAGTGCACTCACCTGGCATGTGTGAGACACTGGATTCGATCCTCAGCACCACATTAAAAAAAAAAAAGAGAGAGATCTGTGCAACACTTTAGGGTTTTCCAAAAGTTTTTGACATTTAAATCTCATGTATCCAGGGTAGGTGTAGGTTTACCATCTTCATTCTGTATATATGAGAATCAGCAGCAAATTATGTGTAATTCTTTCAAACATCCAGCTACTAAATGATGAACTCAATCCTTGTCTTCAAACCTGGGCACTTTCCTCTTTGCTTTCTTTTCTAAACAAGCAAACCAAGAGCACACTGGAATATTATCACACATGTAGGTTCCAAGACTCATTGCAATGGTACAGAAAAGGAATCCATTTTTCTTTTTTTGTATGGGGGATTGAATACAGGGGCACTTTACCACTGAGTTACATTCCCAGGCCTCTTTAATTTTTTCTTTTGAGTCAGTGTCTCATTAAGTTGCTGATAGTCTCATTAAATTGCTAAGGTTGTCCTCAAATTTGCAATCCTCCTATCTCAGCCTCCCAAATCACTGGGATTACAAGTATGCATCACCACGCAAGATTAGAAAAAAATATATTTTTTCAAAATTCACCAACAATTTTGCGTCGCGTCTCTGCTCAAACTCCTGCCCAGTTTGAAACTCACCAGAATCTATTAGCTGTTATTCTAAAAATATGTGTGCTGGATCAAATACTTTGCAGCTACGAATGAAAATGTCACAGGGCAAGAATTTTAAACCTTTATATTCTCTATCATGTAGTGATTTACTTTTTATTCGTTACTTAGTTCTTCAGCATCCCGAATGTAGGAAATGAAGATTCTTCTCTTCCAGTTTAAAAAGCACAAGTATGCCAAATATTCATGTCAAAGGATAACCAGACTCAGCCGGCTGGCTGTCAGGTAGAGAGTCCTGTTCAAGATTACAAGATGGCAAGCACGGAAAGGTCAGGGGCTGGACACGGATAGGCTAGCTCTAGAACTGCTGCCTTAAGAAGTACCCATCCCTAGACTGATGTTCCCAAAGAGACTTTGCTAAGGGCTGCCCTACTGCAAGGCAGAGTTGGGCGTCGGAGACACAGAACTACTCTTAGGAGCCCAAAGGGCCCGTCAGTGGCCAACCCTTCCTCCTTCGGGCTACCAGTCCCTTTCCTGACGCTGTGGGAGAACGGGTGCGGAGTGGTGGATGGAAAGTAATAAAAGGCCTGTAAAACTTTATCTGCTGGTGTGCGTCCTCGTAAATACCCTCCACGGATAACTAAATTAGGTCGGCAGTAAGAGCTGTTTCCTTCTCAGGACAGCCTGGAGGGTTTTTCTTGTTTTGCAAAAGGCTTCTACTTCCTCCTGGTTTCGTATATTCACACAAGCGCAGCTGAAGACCTGCGCAGGTGTTTTGTGCACGCGTGTGATTTTCGCCATCGCCAGGGTCTCACATTAATTTCCTTAGGACGCCCCCGGACCCCAGGTTTGTGCGAGGAGCTCCCGGTGCCCTGCCGTGTGTGTGCGTCACCGTCAGCGTAACCCTGCACACAGCCGACAGGAGCATTGCGCACGCGCAACGCGGAGCTGCCAGCAACTTCCGGACGTCCAGGGCCGGGGAGGGGAGTGACGAGTGGGGCCAATTCGCGACGCCACTTTCTGACTCCAGCACTGAGGATCCAGTACCCATCCTCGGAAGCAGGGTCCGGGAGGAGGGAGGCCCGGCCGGGACCGGGAAGAGCCGCTGAGGAGCACAGAAGCCCAGCCCGAGGAGTTGCCCTGCCCGGGCCAACCAGGGATCAGGGGCGGTTCCCGGAGCCACGCCCCCTCGCGCGCACAGCGAGCCAGCTAGACTGCGCAGACGAATACGTGACGCGGGGCGGCGCCGAGCAGGAGGGAGGGAGGGAAGATGAAGGAGGGCGGGGGAGCAATCGGCGGGACCAGCGGCGGCGGTAGCAGCAGCATGGCCGCTCTCTATGGGGGTGTAGAGGGGTGAGTGCGGCCCGACGCCGGGAGCACGGGAGGGGCGGCCTCGGACATTCCAGGCTGGAGGGCGGGGCGGAAGGTCGTGGCCAGCAGGGTGTGCAGGTAGCCTCGCACCTCAGGATCCGGCCACTGTGGGCTTCTGGGTTGCAGGGCCTTACGGAGAAAGGGTGTGTCACGTGCAGGGCCAATCTTAAGTGCGAGGCGTTGTGCCTTGCAGGGTCTCGGTGAGTGCCAAGGCCACACCCCAGGGGGTCCTTTGTATTTTACGGCGGAACCACGCCCCTTTCTTCCACCGACAACTCACTGGACAGCCCACTCGGCGTATTCCCTCTGGGAAAGCAGCTTTTTCCTCATTTCCAGATCCAGAAGGAGTTTTTGCAGAACAGGTGTCAGGTGTGAAGTTTCTGGGTTGGAGATAGCAAGCTGGAGTGAGTGGAAGCTGGGACAAAGATATTTGCCTGAGGGTATCTGGGAGCCTGAACAGCTGCGAGACACAGTGTTCATCCTGGTGCCCATGCCCCAAAGCTTTCATTTATCTTGGCACCACAGGCACCTCATGCTGGTTTGAATCTTCTGTTACTCTATTTTTCTGCTAAGAATCTTGTCTGTAGGACTTTCTGTAGTAGCTCTGCCCCGGGTATAACTTTGGGTAATACCTCTCTGAGCTTCAGTTACTGAGGACAGAAAGGAACAAGATGATTGATTACCAGATTCCCTGCCAGTGACAAGATTCTGTGAATCTGAATGTGTTGACTCAGGATATAATAGAAGGTGACTTGTTTCAGAGCTTTTGAATTGGATTGAATTCATTTCAGTGTATGCCATGTCTCACTGCTGACTTACCCAAAAGTCTTTTCACATGAATTGTGAAGGTTGATTTCCCCATCCTGTACCATCTTGTATTTGTAGCACTTTTTTTTTTAAACCTCAGTACAGTGTAGGTAGCAGTTTGTATTCATCCCTGTAACATTCATCTATAAGCTATAACCCATTTTTTTCAGTTTGTCAAGATATTGTTTTGGATGTTGAATCTACCACTTCACATGCATTGACTACTGTTTGAAACTTCGTGTCTTCTTTGAATCCGATGAGAAGGTCTTCAGTGTCCTCTCCTAAGACATTCCTAAAAGTACTGATCCATAAGGAAACACACATCCCATCACCACAGATCTGCCTCTAAACTACCATTTTCCCCAGTAATCAGCATTGGAGGGTTTAATTGATTGTGTGTAAATTCTCCCTGCCATCTGGTGAGCATTTCTTCCAAAGATGTCTTGAAGACCTTGGCAGGTGGAGCTCTCGGGTCTTGAAAGGCAGCCTTTAGTAGTTATGAGAGGAACAGAGAGATGTGCACATTTCTTTAGCTTTTTTGTTGTTGTTGTTAACCAAATGTTTGTGCCAAGCTCTGTGCTAGTTATGAGGCTAGATAAATGATCCAAAGCTTGGCCCAGTGGAGCTGTTAAATCTATTTAGAAGTAGACACAAAGCAACTGAACACATGCTTGATGCAGAGGAAAATTTTAATAGTTATGGGGGCACTGTGAGGGTTTAACTAACATAGCCTTAACTAAGTGGGGTGGGCCACACATCAGAAAATTTCAAGGCCTAGATGATGCATATTCAAAGGGAAACTGAAGGAGAACTGTGTTTCAGTTTCAAGAGCATAACAAACACCAAACCACAGAGGTGGGTTTGAGAGTGGTGATTGGGATTACTGAAACTTATCTCTATCACACTGGGCTTTGCCTGCAACAGGGACTGCACTAGCTTAGCTCTACTGCAGGTTTTTCTAAGCAGAACTGAGTGCCCTCTTGTGTTCTGTAGGGGAGGCACACGGTCCAAGGTCCTTTTACTTTCCGAGGATGGGCAGATCCTGGCAGAAGCAGATGGACTGAGCACAAACCACTGGGTAAAAGCCACACTGAGGGGACCAGAGGGCTTGGTTCTGATTTGATTCTCTAATTCCAATTGAGGTGGTGGCTGGGATTCATAGAGCAACTGATAGGGATGACATAGGTCCTGCAAGCCTTTGTAACTCCTCCTTCCCTTGATTGGGCCAGCTGATCGGGACAGAAAAATGTGTGGAGAGGATCAACGAGATGGTGAACAGGGCCAAACAGAAAGCAGGGGTGGATCCTCTGGTACCTCTGCGAAGCTTGGTGAGTCTGGGGTAGAGCCTTGGAATTAAGCCAACAGCAACACTAAGACAGGTAGCAAGTTTAGATTGGATGAACTTGATGACTATGGATGAGAAGGCCTCCAAGGTCTAGTCCCTGGTGTTGAAACTTGTGATCTTACCCATTCTCATGGTTTCAGCTGCCACCTTCAACTACAAGTATATTGGAAGAGTAGGATTGGGGAGAGCCACTGAGATCTTGGTTTGAATCCAGCTTTACCACTCAGTATCTATTTGACCCTTAAGAAGTGGGTCTTACTTTCCTCACTTGGAAAACATTGCTAGCAGTAGCTATCCCAGAGTTATTGGGAAAAGTACAGTGATACATCCCAAAAGGGTTAACACAGAATCTGACCCATATGCACTCATTAGGTGTAAGCTATTCTTACTCTCAGCTTAGATCCTCCCCCCAAGTTGATGCAGCTCTGTCTACTCCTTGTACACATAAGTGAAATGTTCTTTGGACACAGCCAAACCATCACCCCTTACCTTGTTTCTCTGCCTGATTTTTCTAAGAGCATTGTTGTCTAAGCTCTAAAAACATAGTATTGTTAAATTCCTCTTTCCTCTGTCCATCCCCAGTCTGGGCTGTTCTCAGAGCCAGGGCCTTCTGAGGGGCGGTGGTGTGGGATGGAGCGACTGAGGCTGGATGAGCAAGGTATAGCCAGACATAATAGAGAGCAGGAGGCAGGCATCAGGAGGGTTGGGATGAGAAAGGCACTGTGTCTGGAGCTCTGCTTGCTTGCTCACCTCCCACGTGGCCCAGGGCCTATCCTTGAGTGGTGGGGAGCAGGAGGATGCACTGAGGATGCTGACGGAGGAGCTGAGGGACCGATTTCCCTACCTGAGTGAAAACTACTTTATCACCACGGATGCTGCAGGCTCCATCGCTACAGCTACACCAGATGGTGAGGAGATGGATGGAGGGGTGAGGTTGAGAACTGGTTTTTGCTTGGGAAAGCCCCTTAGAGATAGCTGGCAAAACTAGTATTGCAGTATCTGGAAGGAAGTCTCTGAGTCACCCCTCTTTACCCAAATCCTATCATGATCAGCTTAAGACTCTGCCAAAGCAGACTTGGAAGATAGAAGAAAAGTGGGCAAGAAATGTAATCATGGTGGTAAGCAAATCAAACATAAGACTCCATTGCAAAGGAGGGAGCCCTTGGTGGAAGCCAGTGAGAAGCAGGCTGTGCATAGCCTAGAGCATAGAGAAGAAAGTTGGGGAGCTCTATGATTTTGTAGTGCTAGATCACAGGATTGGTATTTGCTAGCTCTACCATCCTGGAGAAGTCATGGAACTCTCTGATTTTTTATTTCCTTATCTATACAGTGGGGACAATTATATTTATAAGGTGCTGACTAAGTATTACTATAAGAACATTGTCTAGCACAATCTGTGGCACATAGTAGGAACTCAGTAAAGCAGGTAGAGTCACCTGAAGACTGGCTTGGCAAGAAGCCACATTCCCTGAAGGAGATGTAGACCATGTTCCTCAGTCCCTAGAGACAGGCTCTATGATTGCAGTTTCTCCGAGGCCCAGGCCCTCCCCTTTAGGCAGGAAACCTACTGGGCTCAGTTTTCTCCCCTGTAGGACTGGGTGGTAACCCTTTTGCCTAGGATGTGTGTGGTTTCTGTCCTATCTTCTTCCACAGTCGGAAGCTGTTGCTCTGTACAGAGCCTTGGCCACTGAGCCTTCCCTGCCCCTTCCCCAGGTGGGATCGTGCTCATCTCTGGAACTGGCTCTAACTGCAGGCTCATCAACCCTGATGGCTCCGAGAGTGGCTGCGGCGGCTGGGGCCACATGATAGGAGACGAGGGCTCAGGTGAGCTCACACTGGGCCTGGACCCTTTCCTTCCTGCAGCTCCCCATCTTCTCCCCTGCTCTTGGCCTACTAATCCCTGGGGGTTTTCTGGGGACAGCCATTCCAAGTGCAGGGTAATGGCGACAGATCATAGCTGGACTAACTGCTGACATTGCTCTTCACTAGTGATTTTGCTCCAGGGTTCAGATTCACATCTCAGCACAATGGCTGTAGCCTACCTGTGTGGACTTTTGGAGACCTTAGGGAAGAATTGAGATTATGAAAGATCATAGATGCCATATCAGTCCGCTTCTGGGAAAGAGACAGAAACTCCTCCCACCATGGTCTCTTTATGGGTAGCATGTGTACATTTTCATAGGGGCCGTTGGGGCCCAGCTCGAGTTGTGACTCTGGCACAATTGTGAGAACTGATTGACCCTGTCTTTGTGTAGGAGATGCTGTGATACAGATTCACCTATTCTGTCTTCCAGCTCCAACTTGCTTTTATCTGGGTCAGTCAGATACAGTTTCATTAAAAGCACCTCCTTCTCCCCGGCATCCCCACCCCCAGGAATCAGGAAATGTAATTTTCTATAAAACCCAAGCAGATCACTAACCCTGTCTGGGTCTGAGTTTCCTTCCTGGTGAGCTTCAAGAGATAGCCCATCTTCTTAGCCCTCTCTGCTCTCTGCAGCCTACTGGATTGCACACCAAGCAGTGAAAATAGTGTTTGACTCCATCGACAACCTAGAGGCGGCTCCTCATGATATTGGTTATGTCAAGCAGGCCATGTTCAACTATTTCCAGGTACTTCCCTGGCCCCAGTGGATGTGCACACCTGGGGTAGGGCAGAGGGGGACTCTAAGATACAGCAGTTGCAGGAGAGGGATTGGGTGGGCCAAAGTGGGTCAGAGCTGCAAGGTGAAGTATAGGTAAGAACAGAATTTAGAATGCTGAAGACAGTGCATTCCAAAGGTAGCATGAGAAAGCTGTGGTTTGAGAACAAGTGGTTAGCCAGGCTTCATTCTTGAGCAGCTAAAACCCACTGAAACAGCTTTCTAGGCTAACATAAAAATTGCAAGTGAGGTCAGAAAGGAGAAATAGCAGGTAGAGTCTGAGCAAGGTCCTTGAATGCTGATCTGCTCTCTGGCCTTTATGGGTCAGGAAAGCCTATTAAAAAGGAAGCAGGAGAATTTCAGAGGGAGGCACAGCCACTTACCTAGCACACTGGGGACTGACTCCTCATCTGTGCTGTGCTCAGTTGTGGGTTGGGAGACACAACTGCCTTTAGTGGAGTCAGAGGTGAAAAGTGGGAGGATGTGGAAGGAAGAGAAGAAGGAAGATAAATTTATTTAATAGCTTGTCTATCTGCATGAGGGCCAGTCTGTCTTTTGGGGGTCACTTAGGCAAGCTGGACCTAAAGCTGAGGAAGGAGATTAGAGATATTAGAAGGTAGGGCATGTCTTCTTAAGGCTGAGGGATTGGTGATTAAAGAGTAACCCTATCCTGTGCCACAGTGAGGAATAGGGAGGAACCAGGAGAAAACACCTTAGCAGTTTAGTTGTCTCACCCAGTCAATTGTGTCTGCACTCCACCAGCATGCCTGCTGCTCCCTCTTACATTTTTCAGTCATTCTTAGAAAGTTGTTACCAAGGTTTGCTGTGTGCCCTGTAGGCATAAGAGGCTGAGGCAGGAGGATCATGAGTTCAAAGCCAGCCTCAGTAACTTACTGAGGCCCTGAGCAACTTAGCAAGATCCTCTTTCAAAAAAATAAAAAAGGGTTGGGGATGTGACTCAGTGGTTGTGGTAAAGTGCCCCTGGATTCAATCACCAGTACAAAAAAAAAGAAGAAAAGAAAAGGAAGTTGTTATTAAGGTTAAATGAGACTGTGTATAAAATATTTATATATGTAGGTACTCAAATTTTAGCACCGCTTCTCTCTACTAAAATGTGTCTGGGAAATCATTTGAGATGTTAAGGGTAGGCAAGTTTGTTGGGGAAGAAGGACCTTCTGTGATCACATAAGTTTGGGAGAAGCAGATGAATTTCTTGGTTGCAGTACCTCTTGGAGCCTTTGCTAATGTGTGTTGTAACTCTCCCAGGGACAGTTGCAATATATGGTATTACTTAGATTCCTTTGACCAAAGAAACCTTTCCAAGAGCACTTTAAGGAACTATAGAACATGCTGTGGTGATTACATATCTGTATTCTATACTGCCTGTAAGCTAATGGGTAACAATGAAGTCCATGCTGGGAAAACACTTTTCTCAAAATGAGAAATCTCACATCCTTATACTTTCTAGAGCTAAAACGTGCTCCCAGAATTATTCTAGCTCTTCAAATAGTATAAATTAGGAAGGGCAACTTAGGTGGGCAAATGGGATTTTCTTTACTTCTCATAGCTGTCTTGTGTTGTTTGTCTTTCAGGTGCCAGATCGGCTAGGAATCCTCACCCACCTGTACAGGGAGTTTGACAAAAGCAGGTTTGCTGGGTTTTGCCGGAAAATTGCCGAAGGTACTGAGGTGGGGTAGGGTTCTGTCGGGCTTTGTTTCCCTCAGACCTGCCTAATTAGGGGGTGAAGTTCATATGGGGGCTAGACACCAATTTCCCTCTCACCAAGTGACCTCACTGTTTTGCCACCTCTGTCCTTGGTGATGGTACTGGGTGTGCCTTGGGGTTGAGGCAGAAGGACTAGATGATTGTACTGACTGTTGTTTTGTATTGTCAGTGTTTCTCCTTGACAGGTGTCAAGGCTAGGGCAAGCTATATGCCAGTTTCTGAGAAATTTGTGAAACAGTTTTCATTTAGACAAAACTATAACTTTTTTTTAACTTGTTACATTCAAAGAACCAGGGGATTAAGGAAACCTTGGGCATATTTTGTTGGGTGTCAGAAGCTCAAAATATGGCTTGCTTGTTTATATTTTGCTTTCTCCACTGTCACGTCCATACTCTGTTAATTTGGATTCCATAGCCTCGGGGTACTCTTGGGCTCTTTTAGAGCCTGCTAGACTGAGTTCCTTCTCCCCCAGTAACAAGGAAGGGGCTAATCAGCGGCAGACTGCTGGAAGCAGGTGGGAGGCACTGACCAGATGTCAGCCAGCTTCTTAGCTGAATTCCTGGGTCCCCAGAGCTGAGAGATTCATAGGGATAGACTCAAAATAACTCAGTGTAACCTGGTAATCTAGTGGTAGGGTGCTTTGGGGCAGGGGGCTGTCCTTCCCAGTGCCTTCAGAGGTGCAGCGGGGAGGTGGAGAGTGCTGCCATGAGACTTCTTGCCCCCGTGCCAGTGGTGAGGCATATGTCCTGATTCAGACTTCCGCCAGCTAGAGGTGCTGCCCTGTGATGGGGAGAGTAACCGGGACAAGCTGTCCCTGGGTGTTCACCAACCCCCCTTTCCCTTCTCCTATCCCAGGTGCCGAGCAGGGAGACCCCCTTTCCCGCTACATCTTCAGGAAGGCTGGGGAAATGCTGGGCAGACACATCGTAGCAGTGCTGCCCGAGATTGACCCGGTGAGTGGAGGTGCTGCTTCCCTTTTGGTGATGCAACTGCCCCATCAAACCCTGCATCAATTAGAAACTATTTTAGATGAAGTTATGAGGTGAGAAAAATTCTGCTTATAACGTAAGAAAATCCTACGGTCTAGTGCTTCCCTCTGTAACTGGTATGTTACTACCTGTATTTACATGTAGTAAATGGGTTTAATGTCTGTCTGTCCCCTTTCTGTCTATTCCCCTTCCTTTTCTCTTTCCTATTTCTGTAGTTGCTTGCCCCTTTTCTCTTCCCTGCCCTGCCTGCTCTTCTTGTTTCTCTTTCCTTGAGTTCACCTTATTCTGTTATTGACTAGAGGGAAAGTCTGGGATTTGGGGTTGGTCTTAGGAAACCACCTGGCAGCTCCAGAGATGCTTGTTCAGTCCACAGCATCCATTTTTGGCCCTCCACCCAGGTCTTGTTCCAAGGGAAGATTGGCCTCCCCATCCTGTGTGTGGGCTCTGTGTGGAAGAGCTGGGAGTTACTGAAGGAAGGTAAGTCTGGGGGCAAGGGGAGGGGAAGGGCAAAGGCAGAGAATGGGTCTGGAGTGGAAGTCCAAGAAAGCTGCCTGTTTTAGGAAAAACTGAGACCTGTGCCCTGAGGCCAAGACAGGCCACTGATGCCTCAGGTTAAGGCCCTCAGCCTTCACTTTGCCTCTGTCCCATCCGACTTCCCACGAACTAATATATAATTTATGCTGGGGATTAAACTTCGGGCCTCAGACTTGCTGTGTATGTGCTTTACCACTGAGCTGCAATCCCAGTTCCTTGAGGTCCTGAAAACGTGTCATATTCCAACGATTTATTAAATAACGTCTTTTTAAAGTTAAAGTGAAAACTCAGAATCAGAGCTCCAGCATATGATTAACGGTGGTAACATCCCTAGTCAGCGTAATCCTGGCCAGAAGAAACGTGACTTCTTTCCAGGCAGCCTCCTTTCAGGAAGTTGCTCAGCTCCCATTAGACATTCTGCAGGGCTTAACGGCCCCTATTGGAGTTCCCAGCATTGGAACTGAGAGGAGGGCAGGCCTTTGAGGCTGCTGGCTGCATGTGCCCTGGGATCCACTGTGTCCTGGGGACTTGGCCTGTTGGCCCCTTCAGCATCTTCACAGAAAGACCTTAGCATCTTTGTCCCCTTCCCCTCCTCCTGGTCTCTTCTCATTTCTGTCCTTGCATTCTTCCTTGCAGGTTTCCTTTTGGCGCTGACCCAGGGTAGAGAGATCCAGGCTCAGAACTCCTTCTCCAGCTTCACCCTGATGAAGCTGAGGCACTCCTCCGCCCTGGGTGGGGCCAGCCTAGGGGCCAGGCACATTGGGCACCTCCTCCCCATGGACTACAACGTCAATGCCATTGCCTTCTACTCCTACACCTTCTCCTAGGGGACTGGTCCTAGATCCTCCCATTCTAAGCCTAGTGGACATTGGGTGCTAGAAAGGAGGTCTTTTCTTTTTTAAAAACACATATAGAAGAAAATAAATGCACTCTGCCCATTCCCCAATTGGATTGTGTGTTCAAGCACCCTTGCTGTTATATCCTCAATGCACCACTAGCAGGTGTCCCAGAGGGCTTAGGAATGGTTTTGTCCATAGTTGAAAGCCCCACCTCCAGGGACTTGGTCTGTGATCTGCATCCGATCACCATGTTCTTGGACAGGTAATTTATCTGTGCCACCTCAAACACATCCCCCTTGCCTTACCATACACATTAACCTGTGACTTAAGTTTTCTCCTGTCAAAAGTAGGTAATGATTCCTGCCTGACCCCTATTGGAACTAAGTAGTCTTCCCCTGAATGAGATTTCTCAGTAGGATTTAGGGGACAATACAATTCTAGTTCAAAAAATTTTTTACCTCACTGGATTTGGTAGTTGTAAGTAAGCAGTGCATTTTTCAGTTTCTTGTGTGAATGAATTCTTGAGTTTATGAAGATTGCTGAGGTCCAAAAAGGCCAACTAGGGATAGCCTATCTGGATGGCCTACCTGCCTGTCCCTGACTGCTACTAGCCTGGCTCTGGTTATGGCATGACATTTTGTTTGTTGTGTGGCCCTGGGAATAATGAGCATCCGTGAAGAGCAGACGTGGTCCCTGTCCTCTGGATTCTGTAGTTGGACTAGTGAAGACAAACCTAAAGCTTCCTGTGCTGCTGCCTGTGCTACAGTCTTGATCCACAGTGGCTGCCTCTACAAGTGTCCAGAGTGTACACTATTAGAAGGCATCGATCATCTCCTGGACATGAGTTCTCAAATTTACATGCCTCAATTCTAGAGTTTATTTTAAAATCAGGTTTCAGTCTTTTTCCCTCCTCCTACCTACCCCCTACCTCAAGAGGTCTGACTCAATAGGTCAGAGATGAGTGGAGTGGGTGAGGAATTTTTTTTTTTTTTAATAGTCTCATTATGTTGCCCAGAGTGACCTCAACCAAGATCTCAAGCATTCCTCCTTCCTCAGCCTCTCAAGTAGCTGGTCATAGACCTCCATGCCCACCTAGGAATTTTCATTCCTACTCAATTGTCTTGGTGATTTTTGCCAGAGGTCCAGCATCTGTACTTGAAGGAGTTTGCCTTATTGCTTCTGAGTTCCAGTTACATTCTCAGGGGATCTTAAGTCTTACCTGTTTGTTTACAGTACATCATTCATGTGGAACAGAATGGCCGCAGCTCTCTTCCCTAGCCCAATGTAGCAAGCTGGTGCTTTGAGCAGTAAGAACTCAAGCCAAGTCCCTTCAAGGGACAGAGCACAACTTCACATCCAACTGTCACCCAATTCTTTGGGTCCAGCACTTGGCAAATCGCTAGTACCTCACCTTGTAAAAAGTCTGCAGAGAACAAGGATATAACAGAAGTACCTTTGCTATATCCCACAGTCCTAATAATAGTAATAGGGACTGAATCCAGAACCTCACATGTTAGGCTCACTGAGTTGTATCCACAGCCCTTTTTACTTTTTTTTTTTTTTTTTGGAGACAGGGTCTTGCTAAATTATTTAGGGCCTCATTAAATTGCTGAAGGCTAACCTTGAATTTGGAATTCTCCTGTCTCAGCCTCCTGAGTTGTTGAAATTACAGGCATGAGCCACCATGCCCAGTTTTTTGGTTTTTTTGGTACCCAGGGACACTTTACCACTGGGCCACATCCCCAGCTCTTTTTTTGAGACAGGGTCTCAGTAAGTTTTTTAGGACCTCAGTAAATTGCTGGGCCGGCCTCAAACTTGTGATCCTACTTCCTGAGTTTCTGGAATTACGGGCATGTGCCACTCACCTGGCTTGTTTTTTTTTTTTTTGTTTTAATGTGTTCTTAGGATTAGGTTCAAGCAGTGTTTTGGTAAAAAGTTTATAAATAATGAGACCTACTTATGTTCTTCAAATATGACCATCACTCTATTTGTGTAGACTCTATAATTCCAGTTGGACAGTGGAGGTTTTAGAAAAGAATAGCAGCATATCTTGACTTTCTTAGTCCAAGAACATGATTATTGAGTAAATGTTAGTTGAAAAAATGAAGCCAGATTCACTGGTGTCCATCTGTAATCCCAGAAATTCCTATTGAGAGGAGAATTGAAAATTGGAGACCAACCTCGGCAACTTAGCAAGACTCTGTCTCAAAGTGGAAAGGGCTGGGGATGAAGCCAGTGGTAGACTGCCCTGGATTCAATTCCCAGTACTATACAAAAAACAAGTGAAAATCTCTCCCATCCCCCAAGTACTGGGGATTGAACCAAGGGCCTCACACATGCCCAACAAGTGATCTACCACTGAACTATATCTCCAATCTCTCCACCCCATGGCGATAAAGTACCTAAGGTCAGATATGCTCCTAGATTCTATCACATTTAGTAGATGTGATAAGGTTTCAAGCAGGGTGTGGTCACATACCTATAATCCCCTTGGGAGGCTGAGGCAGGAGGTCACAAGTTTGAGGCCAGCCTAGAAATTTATCAAGACTCAAAAAATAAAGAGCCGAGGATGTGGCTTAGTGGTATAGTATGTTTATCTAGTATGACAAACAACAAAACTAAACAAATGTGATGAGGTTGTTTATTCTCATTAGTAAGACACTATTACACTAGTTGTGGTGCAGGGGCTTATTTTTGTGTGAGAGTTTCCTCCCCTTTAAACATATGCTTCCAACAAGATACCAGGAGCAATTCATGGGATTTTGCACTACCAAGGCATCCAAGCCTATAACGGCCTCATGACAGGGCAAGAAAGCAATGAGCACTGGACTTAAATAAGGCTGGCACTGCCTTCATCTGTCTGATCTTAGCACAGCTCATCATCCAGACCAGTCAGCTAACACTGATGTCTTCCAGGTGTGATGAAGTGCTCTGAGTGCTAAAAATGACTAGGCCATTTTTTAGTTAGCAAAATTCAGAGCTGTACACATAAAATATATCCACACTTTAGTACACTACACTTACAATTAAGTTTAGTGAAATTTAAAAAATATACCATCCACATCTTCAAGGATGTTACAATCTAATATATCAGCCCTATACTTATAACTTAGAAAAAGTTATAAATAGGCAGGTCAACTCAGATTTTTCTCCCTAGCTTTGGCAAGAAATCAGGGCTCAATGCAAAACCCATGGGCCCATAATCTTTTTAGCACCTAAAATCCTTGAAAGAAAAAAGTACAAAACACCAATCCTCTCAATAGTCGTCCCCACTAACCCTGTAGCCCCAGTGCCTAAGATGAAGCTTTGAATGTAGTAGGCGCTCAAACTTGTTTAGTAGTTGAAAGACCGATAACAGAATCTTTTCACTTTTTTTAAGGTAGGAGTTAGCTTTGGCTCAAACAGAAGTCAACTCTTCAAGTTTCCTTTCTAGCCCAAGAAGTCCCTTTCACCACCTCTGTTCAAAGTGTACTTACTGCCACTACTGGCTGAGATATATTAAGAGCTTTCACTCACTTTTTTTTTTTTCTTTTCTTGGTATCAGGGATTGAACCCAGGGGTGCTTAACCACTGAGACACATCCCCAGACCTTTTTGTATTTTGTTGGAAACAGGGTCTTTCTAAGTTGCTTAGGGTTTTGCTAAATTGCTGAGGCTGGCTTTGAATTTGTGGTCGTCCTGCCTCAGCCTCCCAAGCTCCTGGGATTATAGATGTGTGCATCCACACCCAACAATATTAAGAGCTTTCAATGTGCTAGTCAATATTATAAAATTCTAATTTTCAAAATAAGACTCGGGGTAGGTGTCATACCTTTACCAATAAACAAGTTCAGGCCTAAGGGCACTAAGAAAGTGGTGAAGGTGGGGGTTCACTCAGGTCTGATTCCAAGCCCATGCTTTTACTGTTTTGTAATCTCATTTGGAAGGAATATTATTCAATTTAAACTGATATGTCTTTAGACATTAAAAAAAAATAACTCACATACCCCTACATTATGATGATACATAGTGAACCATCCCTAGGAAAAAAGTACCAAGGCCAGCAAATGCACTTTATTCTCATTTATTGAGATTTTCAACAGCTGCCATTTGGTTCGTATAGCAAACTTTAAAAAATGACTTCTATTTTTTATATTTTTATGAAAATTATTTTCTTCAATTTTAAAGCACTATTCCTCCTCCAAAGTAGTATTAATAACTGCCATGTAAAGTTTATTTAGAAGGGGGGGAAGCAACAATAGCTTTTAAACATTTATGAAACAGTGACAAAGTTCCAAAGTCTCAACGTGGACCAGCCGGGGATGCTATGCTGTCCCCAGTACCATCAATACTTTACTTGCCATCCATACCAACAGGGGTGCCACACACACACCCTCTGACCTTCTGGGGGCTTCTTGTTCCACAAGCTCCACTCTCTCTCCTCTCTGCTTCTGCCATCAGCCCTCCCTCTCTCCCTCCCTCCTAATGTGTCCAACAAAGGCAGTACAACTTTTAATACATGTTCAGCTTTGTAACTGGAGACATGCTACTTATTTAGGAAATTCACAGATTCCCCCATTCATTCTGGAGGAGGAAAAACATCCAGCACAGCATAGATGGTTTCACTTTCTTCTCCACTGAGACACATGCTCATACTTATTAAATGGATTTATTAGATGCTTCAAAAGTCCCGATGTGTAGTAGACAGCACAAAAGTTTCTTGTAAAAAAAATGTTGCAAAATTATAAAAATTTCTGCAGCACTTGAGGCTCCTTCTGTGAAGCTTCTAGTGACAAAGCTGGTTCTGAAAAGTAATTCCTTTGACACGCACAGTAGCTTCACCTATGAGTCCTATATATCTATGTTCAAAGAGTTCCATTTAGACCACAGGAATCTGAAATCCAAGTTCGTCAGGCTGTCTGGCTAACAAAATGTACATACCCATCAATGGGATACTACTCAGTAGTAAAAAGAACAAACCACCAAAACATGTTCTATGTAGTGGATGAGCCTCACAAACATTATGTTAAGTGAAAAAAGGCCTGATACCAGAGACCACGTGCAGGACTCCATTGATGTGAAATGTCAAGAAAAGGCAAATTTATACATGAAAGTGGTTGCCTGGAGTAGGAAC